TGCCAACCTCAGAGTTAACTGAGGAAGACATTGAGAATATGGGGCATACAGAATTCAGAAAACTCATTTTAAAGCTTCTGCTCAACAATGAGAAACACATACAAGAATTCAAAGAATTTAAGGAAGCAATAAAGCAAATTAAGGCTGGTATATCAGAAATTAAGAACACAGTAGAGCAAATTACAAGTACAGTGGAGAGTCTCCAAAATAGAATGAAGCAAGCAGAAGAAAGAATCTCAGAATTGGAAGATATTTCCTGTCATCAGGGGGAAGCAAACAAAAATCAGGAAGCAGAGCTGGATCAGGCCAAAAAAAGTATTCAAGAATTGAAAGACACTATTAAGAGGCCAAATATAAAAGTTATGGGAGTCCCAGAAGGTGCAGAAAGAGAAGCTGAGTTTGCAAATGTATTTAGTGACATAATCAAGGAAAATTTCCCTAATCTGGAGAAACAATTGGGAAACAAGATCCAGGAGGGGCACAGAACTCCCAACAGGCTTGATCAAAAGCAATCTTCACCAAGACACATGATTATCAAGCTCTCTTCAATTGAACATAAGGAAAAGATCTTTAAATGTGCATGTGGAAAAAATCAACTGACATATAAAGGAATACCACTTAAACTCACAGGAGATCTCTCACAGGAAACTCTATAGGCAAGAAGAGAATGGAGTGACATATTCCAAAATCTAAAAGAAAAAAATTGCCAGCCTAGGATAAAATATCCAGCAAAGCTTTCTTTTGTCTTTGAAAATGAAATAAAATTCTTCCACAGTCAAGAAAAATTAAAAGAATTTGCCTCTTTCAAACCTGTCCTACAAATGATACTTCAAGATGTTCTCTTGACTGGCTGTGATACCCCTACCGTCTCAGACCAGCCAAGTTCTAGCTGTCAGTCATTTGAGCAGTGAATTAGCGGATGAAAGATCTTCCCCTCTCTCTTTCTTTAACTTTGCCTTTCAAATGGAAATAAATAAATCTTTATGTAAAAAATAAATACCTTTCTCTTAGAGATGAAATTTTTGGACAAAAATCAAGATGAAACTAAAGAAATCATGAACTTTAGAGTGGGTGCTCTGGCAGAGTGGGTTAAACTGCTTCTTGAAATGCCACATGCCAGGACACAGTGCAGATTTGAATCGCAGTTGTTCCACTTCCAATCCGTTTTTTTGCTTCCTGGGATACACAAGATGATGGGGTCAAGTACTCTGACTTGAGGTGCAGTGCTTGGATTCTTGGTTTTGGACGGGCCTGACTCTGGTTGTCATGGGCATTTGGGGAGTGAACAGAAAATAGAGGATTCCACTGTTATTCTTGCTGTTGCTCTCATTCTATCTTTCAGTTGCTCTGCTATTCACACAGATAAAATACATTAAAAAAAAAAACACTATTAATTCTGGTAGTAAAAGCCTCGAAGGCAGAACAACACATAATGTATGTATGACAGTGGTGACTGTTAAACAATGTCAGCTCGGTCACGGAGTGACAGCAGCACTTACAGGAAGGAGTCAGTTGCCTGGACCCAAAGCCGCAGACACAGTCCCAGCGACTCTAACCTTAGCTGGTCTTTAAAAAGTTCACACGGGGAATGTGTGTCATGAAAAAATTGCATGGATTTCAAAAATGTCTTGGTCTTACAAATCTTGTATTTCTACTTTCCGTATACTTTTTCAAGTAACTTTGTATATCAGTTCAATAATCCCGGACAAGTTCAAGTTCACTTCCTCATTTGTACCATTCAAGGATATTGGGCTCAAAATAGATGATGAAGGAGCTGTTTCTTACTGCCGTGAATACAACTTTGCTCTTCAATTTTCACTGCGGTGAACAGATAATTGCCCATCTCGTGTGAGCTGAATTTTGCACTTCAGGAGTGTTGCCACCAAACAGCAGAAAAAAAAATGTGTGGACTCACTGGGCCTGCATGGTGAGGTGATTTATACAGCCTCCATGCTACAACTCTATTTCTTTTTCTGTTCAGTTTTGCTTGTAGACAATTCCATCTCCACTTTTGCTGATGGAAACTCCCACCAATGGCGACCACTTCTCTTTCCAAGTTCATTTGCTTTTCTGATACAGAGCAAAGGTTAGAAGAGACTTATGCAAAGTCTCTGCTCTGAATTGCCAACCTTCCTTTGCAAAGGGGTCATTTTCCTATGACACTGCAGAAAGCACAGAGTTGCTTTATCTAACACAAGACAAAATGCAGTAAATGAATCTGCCCTCATCAGAACTTCTTAATCTGCACTGAACACAGAGGAAGGAGGATGGGCTGAGGGGAGGCCCCTGGAGCGTGGACTGCCCTTCAGTCATGGCTTTCAGAGCTCAGCATTGACAGGAAGTGATGAAATCAGCTCGCACGTGAACAAGAAGGCTATCATGAGAACCCACCACTTCCTGTCTTGAAGGGAGGGTCGGGTGGGGAAAGCAGAGCATGGGGAAGTGGATGATGGGGAAAGGGAAGAGGAGGCCAGACAGAGACCATGGGAAAAGTCCCCACTCAGCCCCTTGCTCCATTCCCCTGCTCTTCTGAGGCTGGGTTAAGTAGTCTCCTCCAATTCTACTCCCTTTATAGTAATAATAGGAGCTTACAAAGACAAATTAAAGGATAGACATAGTAGACTTTACTCTTAAAAACTCAGTGATGTCAAGACAATGTTTTATGGATAAACTATGCAGAAACAAATACAAATACCCAGGTGACCAAAGGAAGTCATGTGCCAGCTAAAGCATCCACTCCAATGTGTAATGGGAACCGATCAGACCCTTACAAAGGCTGGATAGGCGGTGATACTCCTGCCAGGATCTCATGTTTTCACATCCTCTCCATACCCGGTGAGACAAACCGTCATGACAGCCCTTGAGTCCCTCACTCAACAGCGGGCACCAAGGCACTACACAGAGGGCCTCCTTCGGGTCAATGTGATTCAAGTTCATCAAACCTGTGCTTTCTCCATTTCCTGACATGCTATCTGCACAGCATCTAGAGCTGCACCCAACCACACTACCCTTCTTCTTGCTGTAAAACCATGGTCCCCAAACTGTGCTCCTGCAACCCCTGGGCTGCCTCATAGCTGCTCCGAAGCTGCAGAGTTGGAGAACTCTGAAAATGGACAGGGCTGCTGGCTCCCTTCCCCATCACCCCTTTGGTTCCACTACAGCAATCTTGCTTCTCTGTGCTAGACACTGTAATCCACACGCTGGTGAAATTCTGGCCGATGAGACAATAGCCAGACTTTTTGACATGTCATTCCTGGAACAATGGGAACTGCCCTCCCTTCACTGTCCCCGGCATCCACGCTTTGAAGCGTTTGTGTCCACGCTGGTGCATATTATTTAAACCCCGACATACACATAAGGGAGAAACTGCCATTTCTATTTAATAGGTGGATAAGCCAATCAAGGAGGCAGCAGACTTGCCCAAAGCAGTACGACCACCGAGTGGCAGAGCCAGGATGTACACTTCCGCCTTCAAATGCTGAGTGCCAACTCTGCCCATATTTACCTCCCTCCTATCTGCAGGCGTATGTTCCAAGACCTCAAGTGGATTCAGAAATCAAAGGTTGCTGAGATCTTTTATACTACTTTTTTCTCCTAACATACTCACATATACCAAGGATTAAGTTCAATTTAGAAATTAATTATAGTAAGAGGATAATAGCAACCAATAATTATAATGCACTGCAATGAAAGTTATTTAAAAGGTATGATTTTATTGTGGAATTTTCCATTGAATATTTTAGGACTATGGTCAACTAACTATGAGTACCAGAAACTATGGGAAGCAAAATCAGAGCTAAGGGTAGCATTGTGCCTGCTGCAGAGTGTGCAGTCTGCTCCTTTGTACTCATTCATGCCTCATGAACTTCCTACCTAAGAAGGTCTGGGAGAAGAAATGGCGATGAAAGGGACATCATGAAGATCACCTTTCCCTAGAACCTCTATAAATTTCTTGTGCTGCAGCAGGTATTTGGCGTCATAGGAAAGATCTCAGTTAAGACACCCATGACCCATATCACAGTGCCTGGGTTTCATGTCCAATTGTGGCTCCTCGGTTCTTGCTAATGCAGATCCTGGGAGACACCAGCGAATGGTTCAAGAAATTGGGTCCCTGACACTCTCACAGGAGACCTGGATTTTGTTCCTGGCCCTGAGCTTTGGTCTCAGTTCAGGCTCAAACACAGCTGGCGTTTGGGGAAAGAACCAGTACTTCAGAGCATGTGTGTTCGCTTTCTCTTTCTCTCTCTCTCTTTCTCTCTCAAGAATAAATAATTAGTCTTTGAAAATAAAATAAAGAGTCTTGTGCTATACATATTAGGCTGTAAAACAAAACACCATAATCAATACTGATGGGGACAAAAAGCAAGTTAATTATTGAATGTGATCATAAACATAATGAAGCTATTTGATAGTCAGGGGCTGGTATCTCTCAAATGCATATTTCCTTGACATAACAGGCCCAGTACTGGATTTCTGGGAAACCTACCTTTCTCTTAATTGCACTTCCAGAAATAATGTGATTCCAAAGTAAACAAATGTGCAACTCCTGAGCTATGCTAGATCTATTACCAACAAATTTTCTCAGATTCCTAATGACACACTTGATACGGAAGAGTGAGAAAGAGGAAAGCAGGAAAGGAATACATTTCCTACTTACAAGAACATAAAGACTTAAACACATTGGTACATTTGAGTCACAGTTGAAAACATACGCTTTAATTAAAAACCACTGTGCTGCTCCCACAGCACAGCAAAGTGATCCAGCCGAACCGTTTCTATGATTTGTGGAGAAAACAAGCACCCAGAGTTTCCTGATCAGCATGCCACCACAAGCAACTCCCATCTCCACAGGAGCATCCTTGGAAGGCCTTTATCTCATAGGCATTGCTGGGAAACACTCAACAGAAAAACGGCTTCTCCCCAGAACAGTCATGCTGCCACAACATGAAGCAGGGATGTCACTGCCTGTGGTTGCACACACAGGGCTCGGAATGCCTTACCTGTGCAGAGAAGTCAATGAGCTTCGGAAGTAGCACCTTGCCGCCCTCATCGCTCTTGAGAAAATCCAACAAACTGCCTGTGTATAGAGGAAGGATGCGTTTGGAGTTGCCCAGACATCATAAAGCATCCAGACACAATTCAAAGGATCATTGTTCTTGGTGTAAGACCTCACAAAATGATTCGCTTTTCAATTTAGCAGGATCGGACAGCGTTTGGCCTGATGGAGGCATGTGATTCAGGTGAGCTAGATGGGCAGTGAACACTGATTTTTCTTGACAGATGTCTGAGAGCAACATGTGTTATAGTACAAAAGGACTTCAATGAGTTCATGGGAAAGAGGAACTAGAAGTTTGTTTTACTGGGCTGGCATGATGGCATAGTAGGCTAAGCCTCCATTTGTAGCACTGGCATCCCACGTGGGTGTCAGTTCATGTCCCAGCTGGTCCACTTCTGTATAGCTCTCTGCTTATGGCCTGGGAAAACAGTGGAGTATGGCCTAAGTTTTTGAGACTCTGCACCCACATGGAAGACCCAGAAGAAGCTCCTGGTTTTTGGCCATTGTGGCCATCTGGAAAGTGAACAAGCATATGGAAGATCTTAATCTCTGTCTCTCCTTCTCCCTGTAAATATGCCTTTCCAATAAAAATAAATAACTCTAAAAATTTTAAGGGAAAACCATTTGGAAGTTGCTGAGTCTTTACTGAACTGGCAGTAGACAAATGAAGAAGGATGGTTATTCAAGTCCTTTATCTGCAGGTTACAGCACTAGAATAGAAATTTGCTTAAAACCTCTTATCCAGCCATTCTGCATCTTTTCTTTAAATATTTCTTTTATTTTACTGGAAAAACAGATTTATAGAGAGGAGAGACAGAGGGAAAGATCTTCTGTCTGCTGATTCACTCCCCAGGTGACCACAACAATCAGAGCTGAGCTGATCTAAAGTCAGGAGTCAGGAGCTTCTTCCAGGTCTCCCACATAGGAGTAGGGTCCCATCTTCTACTGCTTTCACAGGCCACAAGCAGGGAGCTGGATGGGAAGCAGAGCATCTGGGACATGAACCGGCGCCCATATGGGATCTCAGCACGTGCAAGGCAAGGATTTGGCCATTGAGCCATTGTGCCGATCTCCATTCTGTGATTTTTACAGAAATTTAACATCTGCAAGTCTCAAAGCCATTTACATTTTGGAGTAACATTCCGAACACTTGATTTGTGGTACAGAGGGAAATGAATTAGTCCTAGAATTTAAGAACTCATATATAAGTATGTAACAAAAATATTCATTGGTAGGGAGGGCAGTTTGGGTTGGCAATGGTTAAGCCATGTGGTGAGATGTTTACATCCCGTACCGATGCCTGGTTTTCAGGCTCAGCTCTGCTCCCAATTCCAGCTTCTTACTAATGCACACTCTTGGAGTCAGAGGTGATGGCACAAGTAGTTAGGTACTTGAGTTTAGACTCTGGCCTGGCTTAGCCCCAGCTGTTGCAGACACTTGGGGAGTAACTAGTGGATGGCAGCCTGCTCTTTCTGTCTCTCTCCATCTCTGTCCCTCCTAAAACCAAATCAACTAGAGCTTCAATTCCTTTTTGACTTCTCTGTTCTTTAATTTGACATGTATTTTGTGTGCGCGGGGGTGTGTACTGCTACTAGATATGAGGAACTGTTTTGGGGGCTATTAGTATATAAGGCAGATGCAGAGGAATTTGAAATCGTATGTCCATTTCATAACATGGAATTGTCCTGGGGGAGAGGGTTTAGGAAGATGGTTTGCTTTCCCTACTGAGTTTTCCAACACAAGTAAGTTTTATACTTAGAATTCACTGAGTGTTTTTTAATAGTTAAACATTGAGCTTTGTGAGATCAAAGCCACTCAAGGGCCCTAGCCACAGCGGGGCACTCACCCTTGGCCATGTACTCAGTGATGATGTAGATGGGCTCCTCCTTTGTGACCACGGCGTAGAGTCTCACGAGCTTGTCATGTTGCAGGGTCTTCATGAGGTTGGCTTCCTCAAGGAATGCTTGCACAGACATGGTGCCTGGCTTCAGGGTCTTCACAGCCACCTTGGTGCTATTATTGTAGTAACCTAGAGAGGAAAAAGAAGGCAGGACATGTTTCACCAGGTAGAAAATTCTTCGAGGTCTCCCATGTGGGAGCTGGGGTGCAAGGATCTGGGCCATCCTCTGCTACCCTCCAAAGCACATTGGCAAGGAGCTGAACTGGAAGTGGAGTAGCCAGGACTTGAACTGGTACCCAATTGGGATGCCTGCATCACAGATGGAGGCCCAACCTATTACACATCAGTACCAGCCCCCCAAAACCATGTACATTTTAATATATACTAACAGAATTAGTATTCTAACATAAATATGGTATTAATATATAATAATTTTAACATACTATTTTACAGCCAAATAAATCTCTCTCAAAGTTTCTAGAGCACTGGATAGGTGACCCATGCAAAAGAGTTCTTGCTAAAGGAACAGGAGTCTTGGCCCACTACCTGTACCCCCAACTCCTGCCCAGGAGATGCAGCAAGTGCATTGCAACCCCTAATTTTGTTTCTTTTGGCATTTCTCATGCTCTTCTGACCACAGAACATTTGTTCATGCATCTTTTTCTCACACCCTGTGGAAAATCTGAGAAATCCTGACTCTTTAAAATAGTTCCCCCCAAGGTCAAGAGTAATTTTTGAGAACTATCTTAATAAAACATTTATTCCTGATTTTGGGGGGAACAAGTTTGTTCTCAGCAGTTTTGCAAAGTATTTTAATAACGTATTCCCACTTCCCTTCCTCTGTGGGCCCACATTCCACTTGAAAAAAAAACCCATCACTACTCTCCCGATCGGTTGCTGTTACATGATGTGTATCGTGTCAGAAAAGCTGAGGCAGAAGCGTGGCTTTCTTTGTAGGAAGGTCCCAATACTACCTCTATGAGCAACGCAAAGACAGATGGCAGGAAGTGTGCTCACCAAAAGGTGATTCTTCAGCAATGACTGCTTGGAAGAGGGAGGATTTGGCATGACCTCTACCTGTTCTTCTGTTGTACCTCATCAATGATCATGTATCTTTCTCTTGTGTTTTTAAAGAATTATATTTGAAGACACAATAAACTGTTTTTATTTCCAAATTTTCAAATTAACAAGAAGTATTTGTTTGCAGTTCACAGGCAATATCCAGGGAAATCATTGGTCTGGCCCTGCCAAGGGGACTGCAGGTGGGTCTTGAAATCCAACAAAGCTGTACTGAGGTAATTTTTAAGTTGATAATTTCACATATCCCATAAATGACGTTTTAAATCTCCAAATGGCTCTAGGCAGAAACAAGGTGTTCCCGCCTTTGGCCTTGAGAGACTTATACTTGTACCAACCCAAAAACTTTAGTGCACACTGTTCAGAGGAGTCTGAACTTGGGGACAAATGCAATTCCATCAGTAAAGATGAGAATAGACTGCTGCAGAAGTTGGATACCAACAACAGATTCAACAGTAATGAAGGCCATTGAGCCTTAGCTATATCCAAACCATGGATGCATATCACAGACCGAGTTAAAGAGGCAAGATATAAAAGAACTGTTTCTGTACGATGAATTCATACAACGTTCAAGGGCACTGGGTATACTGCTTAGGGTACTTATAGGCCCATACACAAACGTAGTAAAACTGTGAAGAAAAGCCAGGAAATTTCTGTGAAGGTCAGCATAGCCGTTGTCTCGGGGTACAGGCAGGTGTGACTGGGAGGAGACACGGGTGCCTCTGGGTGCTGGCAGGGTTCCACTTGTGTGATCTCAGTGGTGGCCACAAAGGTTTCCCCTGCACTTGTCAGATTTATACCTGGGCTGTGTGCACTTTTCTGTTGGCTTGCTAAATTGCATAGTGATAAAAGTTAAAGGGAAAATAGTCCCCTTTTGTCATTATAAAAACAATGGAAGGCATGGAGACCTTTACATAATAAAAAAGTTTGAGTAAAGAGTAACATGTCAAGGAGAGGGGACAAAAAAGTTACCGGGAAATATCACAGCTGCTGAAGATCTTAAAACGCTGATAAAGATGAACAGGACTAACACAGCCATGTCAATCACAGCGCAGGGACAGCAGCTGCTGCTGCTAAGGCACTCTCAGGGCGGAGCCACGTAGACAATGGGGCAGTTTTCATCTTACACTGGAGACTTGGCTTGTATTCAGCACACCAGATCAACTTTACCATGAGATCTCCCTTGCCTTTGAGGGTTTAATTAACCTTGACACCAAGAGCTGGGTTGTCAGGACAGATGAAAAATGGTTTTTCAAATAATCTCTCCAAGGTAGTGAGGGACCTCTTGTGCAAGGACATTTTGCTACAATCAAAGCACACTGGAGTGGGGCTGGCTTTGTGCCACAGAGGGTTAAGTTGCTGATAACGAAGCCAACGTTCCATATTAGAGCACTGATTCAAAGCCCTGGCTGTTTGGCTTCCAATGCAGCTAACCACTGATCAATGTCTGCGAAGCAGTGAAAAATGGATCAGATAATTGGGCCCCCTGTCATCCATGTGGGAGACTTGGATGAAGTTCCTGGCTTCTGGCTTCATCCTGGCCCTGCTCTGGCAATTGTAGATATTTATTTAAAATCAATCAATTATAAGTATGAAAAGGAAAGGAAAAAAAAAAAAGGAAAGAAAAAAACGCTAGCAAGTTACAGTGACAACTTGAAACAGCTGGTACAGATTTCTAAAATGTGCTCAAGTCTTTTAAATAGAGATGATTTAAAAAGTGGCCAGGCAGTTCACATTGGCTGGTGGTTAACTTTACTGCAGTTGACTCAAAGGAAAATGGATCAAGCAGAATTCAATTTAAGCCCAGTTTCCTCTCTTCCCTGAATCTCCTGCTACACCAAGTGAGAAGAGAAAACCCTAGGATTTGCCTCACTGCTGGCTCCTCGGGATTTCCTGCAGGAAATGCAGCCAGGGCAGGTGTCAGGAGTGGGTGAGCCAGGAGGAAGCAGCTGGTAGCAAGGATAGCACTTTCTCCTACCCCTCCTCCCAATGAACCGGTTACTTCCTAGCATTTGTTCCCTGTGTTCTAGATCAGAAAAATTCAGAGCACAAAATGTGCCAGGTATGTGGTAATTCCTCATGTGTAACCAAAACAATAACTTACTTTATGAACAATCAACAATGACATATTTTTAACCTGTTGGGTTCATTTTCCTATCATTGTTTCTCCACCTTTTGACTAAGATCAAGCAAATGTAATTTTTATATCTGCAAGCAAGAATATCACGGCTTTTTTTTCTTTCTTTTTTTTTTTTTAATTTGAAAGGGACAGTGGAGAGAAAGAGGGAGTGTTCTAGCTTCTGGTTGTCTTCCCAAATAGCTACAAAAGCCAGAGCTGGGCCAGGCTGAAGTCAGAGGCTGAGAACTCCATGCACATCTCCCCGAAACACGGCTGGGGCACAGTTACTCAGGCATTCTGCTCTGCTTTCTCAGGCACATTGGCAAGGCACTAGATCCGAAGCAGGGTAGCCAGGACTAGAAGCAGTACACTGATACACAATGCCAGTGGTGTAGGTGGAAGCTTAGTTTCCTATACCACAATACCAACCCCTGCCAGTCTGCTCTTCACTGGGAAATAAAAATCAAATTCCAGCAGCTCTACCTTGAACAGATCTTGTTGTTCACCAGCTCTAGGTCACGAAGAATAAGATATCCCTGCAGCAGAAGAGGGGGCATCCTTCAGGCTCTGACTTGGAACCATCACAGTTCTTTCGGTTTTAGTCTCAGCATTCCTCTGCTAAATCTATTCAACAAATGCAAGTCTTTCTAATAGCTGAGAAGCAGTTCGTTGGCTGACTGACAAACCCATGGACAAGGTGGACCAGAGACCTCACGTCAGACTTTTCTAGTTTTCTTTTCCATTTCTCTTTTTTCTGCCCCATCCTCCCTCCTGCCTGCACCATTTCATTCACTCCTTACAGTGTCCTCACAACCTGGGTTCTGTAAGACTCAAATTTCAGAGATTTTTCAAAGCATCTTTAGTGAAGAAATATGCACTTTGTTTTTTTTTAATAGCTGAAGGTCTTAAATATATATTTCTTCTTTTTTTAAAATTTTGTGTTTTTTTCAATAGAAGGTACAGAAATGACCAGTAGGACATGAAAAGACACTCATTATCACTCACCATAGGGAAAACACAAGTCAAAACCATGATGAGATACTACCCCATGTCTGCTAGGATGCTTACAGGAAAAAAAAAAAAAACCCAGCAACCAAATGGCCCCCACTGCCTGCAAATAGAGACTGCCCCTGCCTTCCCATGCACATTAGCAGGGACTTGAATCAGAAGCAGAATGACTGAGACTTGAACTGGTTCTCCTAGATGGGATGCTGCTGTCACAAGCAGTGGCTTAACTCACTGCATCACAACGACGGTCCTAGTTTCACAAGATTGAAACAGTCTTGGAAACTGAGAGCACAACAGTAGGACTGTACTTAGTTACTACACTGTCAATTTAAAAATATTTACGATGATAAATCACATTATATGTATTTTACTAAAAATAATCATTAGTGAATCTGAGTTCTGCATTTTTCCTTTTTAAAAATTTTATTTATTTCATTTTTTAAAAACTTATTTGAAAGGTAGAGTTACAGAAAGAGAATAAAAGAAAGATTTTTTGGGGTTCACTTCCCAAGAGGCTACAATAACTGGGCCAAGTCAGATGAAAGTTGGGAGCCCAGAGCTTCTTGTAGGGCTCTCATGTGGGCGCAGCGGCTGAAGGGCTTGAGTCATCTTTTACTACTTTCCCAGGCCATTAGCAGAGAGCTGGATCAGAAGTGGAGCAGTTGGGCCCAGCGCGATGGTGCAGCGGTTAAGGTCCTCACCTTGCACACCCAGGATCCCATATGGGCACCGATTCTAATCCCGGCAGCCCCGCTTCCCATCCAGCTCCCTGCCTGTGGCCTGGGAAAGCAGTCGAGGACGGCCCAAAGCTTTGGGACCCTGCACCCGTGTGGGAGACCCGGAAGAGGCTCCTGGCTTCGGATTGGCTCAGCTCTAGCCATTGCGGCCACCTGGGGAGTGAATCATCAGATGGAAGATCTTCCTC